AAAAAAAAAAAACAGAGATTCAAGAGAACAGTTTTACAATCACCCAATCAAATTCACCACCAAATCTATCACGGTTGACTCAAATATCAAAAGGGCTAAAACCGATAGAACTGAAAACGAAAAAGGAGCACGCATTTAGTAGCATTCAATTGATAATCACGAGCACCTGGAAAATACATCATGGGTCGTGCGGACAAACCAGAGTTCGTCGGGATCAAGGATTCTCGAGATGATTTCAGATTTTCTTCTTCGCTGATGGATTTGTTTTTAGCAAGGTTTGAAGTCGAACTCACGGTGACAGTTTTAAATATAAATGTTAACAAATGGTGATTGCGGACTCCTTTGTTTATTCAAATTTTCAGTGATATTTTAAAATCTTTTAGAATTCAAGATTTTTTTTTAAGAAAAATGTTATAGGTATATATAATTGTACACTTATTGAGTGGACCGACCAAAAAATAAAAAATAAAGTGAACCTCATTCGTGCTCTATAAGTCGCTAGGCGTTCGATCAGTGCCTAGGGCCTAGGCGGCGTCTAGTCGGGGCCTGGAAATTGATATTAAATATCTTATTTTTTATTTATTTTAACTACCTACGAGATAAAACTATATCAACTTAAAATAAATCTACAAACGTAAGTTCAAATAATAATATTAATATATGTTAAAGAAAACATGAGAACAAAATAATATAATTAGTATTAAACAAAATAAAAAAATTGAAAAATTGCCGTCGAGCCCGCCTAGGTGCCGCTTGGTCGATTTTTTTCAGCCGATTTGTGCAAATTGGAGGCGGCCGGGCACCGCCTAGTGCCTAGGCGACCGCCTTAGCCGATTTTTAGAATAGTGTCTCTTCTATGTACATTTATTATGTACTTGTAGCATTTTCTTTTTTTAGGGATGTGTGGACTTTAACGAAATTCATAAAAATCTGATTTAAAGTGCATTTGTGATGATATTTCTACATAGACAAATAAATCAGCTTATAGCTTATGGTTAGCTTATAAGCTTTATGTATTCATATAAGTTTTGGAGCTTTTTTTGAAAGTTTTCATTAGTTTATTTGGGTAGCTTTCAAATAAGCTAGTTGAAATTTTTATTTCAGCTAGTTTATCAACTGATTTTAACAAATATTTTTTTTTATCATAGAAGCTAGTTTTTCAACTATAAGTCATAAGCTATTTTAAAAAAAAAAAGTCATAAGCTATAAACTATAAGTTCGGAAATCACTGATAAGCTATAAGAATAAATTTAACTTGTCAGCTATAAACTATAACCCGCACATCAAATCAATTTCAATTCATTAATAACACTAATATATACTAGTACAACACCCGTGTATTACACGGGTGCTTGTTACAAAATTATTTTTAAATTTTAAAATTAATGATAAAACTATATTAGATTTAGTTTACTTTTTTACCAAAAAAATATATTATTATATATTTTAGAATGATATGTGTTACTTATGACTTACATGTGTTATAGTTTTTATATCTTATATCATATAACTACTTGAAATATAAATATATTAGTTGATAATAATTTTATTTTTCTAATTAATATTAAAAATAATTTTATTATTGTTATAAAGATAAATATAAATTATTTTTTTATACATACAATATGGATTTTAAATCGAAGCTCCTCAAAAGAAGATTAATTTGATATATTACATATGTAAAACTGATAAAAAATACAAAAGTTATTAACTTTTAAAATATATATACATATCAATAGTTATAATAACAAATGATATTAATATACAATTAATACACTAGTACAACGCCCGTGTATTACACAGGTGCTTGCTAATTTTTTTCTTAAAATCTAAAATTACTGAGAAAATGTAGTTGAAAATTTAAATGCCTTTTAAAAATATATATAGTATTATATTTAGTATGACACTTTTTATTTGTGTGACTTACTTGTGTTATATTATAATATTTTTTTAACTTACAATATTTAACTACATTAAATTAATTATATCAATTGAGAACTAGTTTTATTTTTCTAATGAATATTAGTAAATATTATTATTTTTTATTATTATAAAGATAAATATATTTTATTTTTATTTTACATATGCAATATGGATGTCAAATCAAAGATCATCAAAAGTTTATTAATTTGATATACTATATATGTAAAACCGATAAGAAATACAAAAGTTATCAACTTTTAAAATATATTTACAATTCAATAGCTAATAATAGGAAACAAATCAAAAACCAAGGATATATTAGTCACTTAGGGACTCACTATCTAAAATTACAAAGAATTAAAGGGTTATATTAGTACAATTAATATTAAAATACCTAAGTTAGCTAAATAATATTTATGGAATGCCCAAACCTAGATTATTAATTATTAATATATAATATTATTTGTCCAAACCTAACTACGAAGCATGATTCTTCGCCAAGTAGGATTCCAAAGCACCAGAAGAAGCCACGTAGGCTCAGCGCATTCGGAAATTATATATAGGGAGGATTTAACATGACCATAAATAATCAACATATTTATGGTAATCCGAACCTAATTATTTTTGGTTTGGAATTAAATTAAAATTTACCTAAGCCTAATAACAAAACATGTAAATTTGTCACATAGAATTCTGAAGCACCAGAATCAGCCACGTAGGCTCAACGCATTCGGAATTATATATAGGGGAAGGGGATTTAACTAATCGTTTGCAATAACTGACTAATACTTCCGGTTGGTCAGTGATCACTATAAATAAACAATTTTTAACTGGTGACCTCTCATACAAAAATTCTTTCCAAGGAACACCATTGTTTTTCAGATCAAAACCAGAACATTCTCCCTTTTCTCCTCGATCTTACATATTTCTAACACGACCTCAATTGTTCTGATCCTGTCGATGATCAAGGGCGATTCCTGTTTCAGGTAATTTAGATCGAATTCTTTGACCTAATTCTTTCCTGATTCCGACATTCTTAATCGTATTGTGTTTGATTCCTCCGATAATGTTTAAATTTGGGTGCATTATGTTTCCTTACCGTGCGATCACCTTTAGTATAAGCTATGATTTTGGTCAGTGATGGACTTTGTGGGATTTGATTTATACATTGTAGATCTGCTTGTGTCTGCTATTTCAATTGAATGACATTATCCTTATCAAAAGGGATTCTTTTTCCCCTTCAATTTCTCATAATTGTTCAAATGATGGGGAAAGTAGCTTTACATGTGATCTACACGTCTTGGGTATATATTATTGTTGAGTTGCCTAATCTTGATTTTTTTTTTAAAAAAAATGCTGGCTCTTCTGTAGATTTTCCTAGTCCCTTTCCAACATGTCAACATACAAACCGAAAAACATCTTGATCACCGGCGCCGCCGGTTTCATCGGGTCCCACGTCTCCAACTACCTGACGTCCAAACACCCCGAGTACCGCATCCTCGTCCTCGACAAGCTCGACTACTGCTCGAACCTCCGTAACCTCGACCCTTCCCGTTCCCGGCCAAACTTCAAGTTCGTCAAGGGAGACCTCTGCAGCGCTGACCTCATCAACCACTTGCTCGCCACCGAATCCATCGACACCGTTTTGCACTTCGCTGCCCAAACACACGTCGACAACTCGTTCGGCAACAGCTTCGAGTTTGTGCGAAACAACGTCTACGCCACGTGCGTCCTTCTCGAAGCCTGCAAGGCCTCGGGCCGCGTTTCGAGGTTCGTACACGTCAGCACGGACGAGGTGTACGGCGAGACGGACGAGGCCCACGAGGCGTCCCGACTCCTCCCGACGAACCCTTACTCGGCCTCCAAAGCCGGGGCAGAGATGCTCGTCATGGCCTACGGCCGCTCGTATGGTCTTCCTGTCGTGATCACGCGTGGGAACAACGTTTACGGGCCCCACCAGTTCCCCGAGAAGCTCGTCCCCAAATTCATCCTCCTAGCGATGGCGGGTCGGTCCCTACCGGTCCACGGGGACGGGTCGAACGTGCGGAGCTACCTGTACTGCGATGATGTGGCGGAAGCTTTCGACACGATAGTCCACAGGGGGGAGGTGGGACAGGTGTACAACATAGGGACGAGCGAGGAGAAGAGCGTGGCTGACGTGGCGAAGGATGTGTGCCGGATGTTTGGTTTGGAGGCTTCGGGAGCGGTGAAGTTCGTGGAGAACCGGCCGTTTAACGACCAGAGGTATTTCTTGGACTCGAGGAAGCTCAAGGACTTGGGGTGGGTCGAGAAAACGAGGTGGGAAGATGGGTTGAGGACGACTATGGAGTGGTACGTGAAGAATCCCGACTGGTGGGGGGATGTTTCGGCAGCGTTGGTTGCCCATCCGAGGATGCTTTCTTTTCCCGAGAGGGTTCGTGGGGAAAATTGCGACGAGCAGGGGCAAAGGGGGAAAGTGAACGAGTGCAAAAGAAGCCGGCTTTGAAAGCTTTACCGGTCTTGGCTAGCTCGAGTTTTTCGGTGTTTCGGGATAATTTTGCTGGTAAGTGTGTGCACATGGAGTTGGATGGGATTCCATACTATACTTATTGTAGCTGTGTAAGTTTGGTGATCTGCTGTGGTAATAATGTCTTTGTCTGTCATATGATTGCTGTGTTGTTGTTACTGGGATGCTGGTAAGAATAAGGCAGAGATAGCATACCACAACTAACTGCAGTTTTTTTAACTAGATAGATAATTTAATTTATTGAAGTTAATTAAGGTCTTAAGGTATTAGGAAGTGAAAATTCTAGCATTTTATAGTTCAATTGTTATGCTTTTTTTGTTTAATTCAATGAGAGCTCTCTCTGAGTCTCATTTGCTTTGGACTTTTATTTATTAGGACATCAACTGATTTGGCTGGCATTGTAATGTTGTTCATTTCCTTAATGTATCAAGTGTGCCTTATTTATTTAAATTCATTTTCTGCTATTAGTTTTTGCTGTTGATATACAATTACTGCCCGTTTTTTATGTATCAAGAGCTGATTTATAAGCAACGAAAAAATTGACAACCAACTACAAAATAACATCACTGCAAGAAAAAGAAATCCCAAACAACTGAACAAGGATTCATGCAACTTAATGTCAGCTAACCATACACACACACCCTAGTAGCCTCTAAACTATGTCGCTCCTAGCAGAATACGAGTGAATTTCCATAAAATGATCGCAACCACCAAGGCCGAGATTCTCCTAGTCATTTGTCACAGAGTCGTAAAGCAGCAGTTCACCCTTTGAGTTGAGAAGAAGCAGTTTGTCGTTCTTGAAGAGACCCATGACCTTAGTCACACCAACAGAAGTCGGAACATGAGCTGTGGCCTTGAGAGACCAGTTGCTGCCCTCATGCCATACCCAAATCTCGAAACCAAAAGGTTTATCCATCTCAGCAGCAAATCCAACTTTCTCAAGATCCATATGGAAATCATGAACAACGACAGCAAGCGATCAATGACAGTCAGCAAGAACAACATTGAAGTGGTTCAACTCCTTGTCAGTTGGAGGCATAGGAATAAGATCAGCAGGAAACTCACCCTTAACGAAGTCAAAAGGAATAATAGCATAAGGGTTAGGTTGATCCCAATGTGCAACCGAATAATAAAGGCCGTTTATGTGAAGAGAAGAAATAGCAACGCGTCCCATATCGGGTTGATGAGGAAACACAATTTCCTTCCACAAACCAGTCTTGAATGACATGACATAAGCCTGGATCTCTGCTTGTCCATAATGATTGGGGTACTCCCCATCCTCATCATATTCAGATGATTTGAGGCAGAAGACCAACTTATAGTCCCTCGATACAGGATCAAACCCGACGCCCCAAAGCAGACTGCCCGAGTGATTTAAAATTGAGACCATAAAAAATTATTTAAATTTGAACACACCAGAAATTTTATGTACTTTTTATTTATAAATATAATGAAAGTGGTATTTAATGGCTGTTATATAAACTATTTTAATATATTTGCAATTAATAAAAGTTTGAATGAATAATTTGTAATGTTATTCATAATGTTTGTGACTTATGAGACAGAACACATAACTCCATACATATTTGTCAGAGGGCGACTTAATTATTTTTTAGGACTTAACGTTGATTAAAAGAAGTAGAAAATAGATAACAACATTATTACTTTTTAGACTTAAATGGACAAGGCTGTGAAAATAACGCATTTAATATCTTTGTCCCGTGCATCGCACGGGGTACATACTAGTTACTATATAATAGCAATAAGAAAAAAAATCCAAAAATAGTCATGTAAATTCTCACCCATAATCAGGGACGGATCTAGAAATTGAGAGTAGACTGGGCTAGATACACATTTTTATCAAATATTTTCACAATACCAATATAAGCCAAATATGCCCATTTATTCAAGTCAAATATAAGTTCAAATATAAATATCTGAACTAGTCATTTCTACATTATATAGTATATACATATGATCAACCATTCAAAAATAACAATATATAAATTATCTATCAAAACCAAAAGTATAAAATCTATAAAAGACCATCCACTATAAAGCATAACAAACAAGATTAGAAGAAATGAGAAATCCTTCAAATTTCTCTTTTTCTCTCCAAAAAATTCGTCAATTACTAAATCAGATCTTACACACTAATCAAACCTCATACACCATTTTTTTCTCCCTTTGCAAGAAAGTGGTACATGAACTTAATAAGATAACTAATCCAACAAAATAAACAAAAAAAAAAAAACAAAATCAATCAAACAAAATTAAATTAGAAAAAGAAGACAAAAAAACATGTACAATAAAAAAATATAGCAATTAACAATAGCTATAAGAAGTGTAGAAAATAGAAATCATAATCAAATTCACGAATCACGCATGGTGCAAAATGACAAAACATAACCTAGTCATGAGTAATCTAGCCTCTTTAGGGTTTGTGAAGTTTTTTTTTTTTTTGGTACCTTCTAAATCGGGGGTCGAGTGGACGGCGACCTCCGTCGATGAGAATTAGGCTGCCGGTGAACGCAATCCGTATATGTCAGAGACTTAGAGGTGAAATAGCAGAAGTCGAGCCGAGGAAGAGGTGCTCTGTTTTTTCCTTTTTCTCTTGGGTAAAGTTATTTTATTTAAGTGAATTAGTATACAAATTAACAATTAAATGTAAACTTGAATTGGGAAATTGGGCATGCTAGCTGCTTGTTTATTTTAGGGGAAT